TCCCCGTCGGTGAGGGCAGCTGGTCAGCTGTGGGAGGGCTGTCTAGTGGCGGGTCTGGGACGGTGAGCAAGGCTTCATTCTTATCCAGACAAAATTTCCCTGTAATCTGATCAGACAGTCCCAGGTGAGATCACCCAGACAAGAAGGTCTTTCAGCCCTTGGATCCGGGACGCTTAGCAAGGCACCAGCCCGTGGAAAGGCCAAGTCTGGCTCTGTCACAGGGCCTGCAAGCTGTTGGGCAGGGATCCACAACTGATTTCAAGATCCAAGGGTAGACTGGATCTTAAAATCAGTTGAGCAGCCCGGCCGTCCTTGTCTGCCTCCCAGCTCTCTGCTCCGTTTGCTTCTCCTGAGATTGGCGGCGGTTGGCTTCCGACAGTGCTGTCTTCTCTGGGCACTTGGCCTTGCCTGTGTCCTCCAGAGCACGCAGCTGTGTCCAGGCTGCTGCGGGAGACGTGGAAAAGTGCTGCTGAGCCCTGTGTTTAAAATCACAAGTGCTGCTTGATCTTGATACGTGTCACCATAAAGGGCTCTTTGTTGAGAGCAAATCGGGCGTTCGGAGCGGCACACCCTGAAGCCTCCAGCACTGGAGGAACCTGAAGCCCTTCAGTAGCCCTGGGAGGCACTGACGCTTTGTGTCCCCCTCTTCTTCCAGTGCTGTTCCCCCGTCACACCAATGCTGCTGCCAGAGACAACACCATAAACCTGATCCACACATTCCGGGACTACCTGCACTATCACATCAAGTGCTCGAAGGTACTGAGGGGACGGGGCTGGGGAATGCAGGGCAGCTGCCCCCATCTAACCTGGGTGCTGCAGGGGAGGAGCACGGGGCAGGGGTGTCCCCCTGAGGACTCGCTGGGGTCTGGCGTTGCTCTCCCCAGTCACGCCAGGCTGGCAAATGATGCAGCACCACCTGTTCTTTGGCACAGGCAAAAGCACGTTTGTTTTCCATCCTAGCAGTGATGTCGGGGTTTTTTTTCCCTTTTTGATTCTGGTTTTCTTTCTGGGAACAGAAACGAGGGTAATTGTTCAGTGAGACCTGGCTTTGACCAGCGCTCAGGCAGTCACTTCCCCTGTTGCCTCCTGAATTCCCCCCATAGCTCCGTGGCTGAGCAGAGCAAGGTGCTCTCCCAACGGGGAGCAGAAAGGCAGCTCCTACCCCGTGACTGGCAGTCTTAGCTGTGAGGACAGGATCCTGACGTGCCCCCGTTTTGTCCCAATGCAACGCAGGCCTATATTCACACACGTATGAGGGCGAAAACATCGGATTTCCTCAAGGTGCTGAACCGTGCCCGTCCAGATGCAGAGAAGAAAGAAATGAAAACAATCACGTGAGTAGCAAAGCAGGGCCTGGCTCTCTGGGCTTCTCTGCCAGCCACGTGCTTGCTCCTTCTCAGCTCAGCGTACTCCGGTCCCGGGAGGACTGGGGTGCTGCGAGGGTGACCAGACCAGGACCTGCTGTGCTGGGACCCCAGCTGAGAGAGAAAGGGGGGGGTATCTCATAGTGACACGCTTGCCTGGGTGCCTCCAGGTGGATGACCGGGATCAGGGTGCGTTGGCCCCTCAGGACCCCTGTGCTCCCTCTACCGCGCTCGCTTACTGCCTCATGCATCCTTCGTAGGAGCTGGGTCTGTGGCAAGCCCTGTGCCAGCAGGCCTGGTGCAAAGGAAGGCTCATACATGGCTTTGCAAGCCCTGGTGTCTCCATGGTCCCCTCAAGACCATGGTGGCATTCATAGGGCTTTTCGCCAGTGGTATTAAAGCTGGTTGACTGGCTCTGGGGACAGCTCCAGTTCGTGAGGCAGAGTGGCCAGGTTTTTCCGGGGGGTTTGCGGGTGCGGGAGCAGGTTCCCGCTGGCCGGTGCAGTGCATCTGGAGCTCCTCAGAGCCCCGGGCCAGCAGACAGCTCCTGGCCCACCACGCTGGCTGGCTGCCCCCCTGCCTCTAAAGCAGCCCGGACGAAGGAGAGTGGTTATATGATCATGTCCCTGGTGTCCTTTACCCTCTGCTGATCCCAGAACCCCTTGGTGTCCTCTCTCTGCGCATCCTGGCGTGTCCCCTTTGCATTCCGCTCCAGGGCAGCAGCGTCATCCCCTCTGCAAAAGCCAACCCCTCCCCACAGCCCCGTGACCGGGTTCTGCAACCCCAGATGCCTGCGAGCTCCAAGCCAGCGGTGCCTGCCTGGCTTGGAGAGCTCGGTGCAAGCGTGTGCCCCACCAGCAGCCCCGCAGCCACCCGGGGCACCCCCAGCCAGCCCCGGGGGCTGGGCTGACCTCTCTCTGCGTCCTTCCAGGGGGAAGACGTTCACAACCCGTTAACGCCAGGGTCACTGAGGCTGCCGTGGAGGATGAAGGTTGGGGCACTTGCTACCTGATAATCGTAGCTTTTAATGTTGCACCTCTGTGGGCTCATAAGGAATTCAAGCAATCGGGGTCTGTTTGTACGACAGTTTGGGGAGTAATCTGCAGAAACGAGCTGTGCTTGCGAGGACTCGATCGTTCCAAGAAACAAAACCTTAATTCCAGTTTGATTGACTTAATTTCTTTTCTTTTTTAATTTTTTTTTTTTTTCTTTTTCGAGCTGTTCAGCTTTGCAATATGTTACCGGAAATAAGTTGCAGTATTTCTTATGAGAATAATGCAATATTAACTTGTTTTCTTCTGAGTATTTGAGTTCAAAACTCCTGTATCTGAAGAAATACTGTTGGGGTTCATTAATAAAGGAGATCTTTCTATCTTAAGGGGCTGTGGGGCTTTGGCTTGTCAATGCATGTGGCCATGCCCTGGGAGAGGCATTTGGAGGCACAGGCGCAAGGGCAGTCATTACTGTACCTCGGAGCAAATCACTTCTGGCGATCTCTGTGTCGGGGGCTGAAGCGGGGTGCTGTGCCCAGGGCTAGGAGCGAGAAGCCTGTTGTGTTAGGGAACTCCTGGGCTGCACAGAGCAAGATTCTCCTACCCTGACCCCCTCCTTCCCCCTAACAGGGAGAGCCGGGATGGGGGTCTCTGCCTCCACCATGACCAGCATAAAACCCTCTGCCGTTGATCTTCAGGCCATGGTTGGATACTGAGGAGATCCCTGAGGGAGGGATCTTCCCCCCAACAGGCAGAGTGGATGGCATCCAGTTAAGTGAAATAATTTATATAATTAAAAGACGTTTTCATACAAAACCCCAGGCTTGCTCCCCCCCTTCATGGTGAGGGCAAAGTGGGGCAGGCTGGAAAGTCACAAAGCACCCGCTGGAGCAGGGTGGTGAAGCCCATCTCTCTCATCCCTCTGTACACGAGCCACCCGGCAGAGCCAGGACACCATCCCTCAGCACAGTTCCTAGCGATCGGGGCGCTGGACGCAGAACACTTTGGCTTGGTGGTCGCCAGAGGTTGTCACCACAATGGAAGCATCCCTGGGGGGAGACGGGGCTCAGAGAATGGGCCTGGGGGCTTTGGGCATCCCTCACCAACGCCCCTGGCCCAGCTTTGATCTGCCCCACTCCCCCCTGAGACCCTCAAGTCTCAGCACGGAGCTGGGTCTGTCCCCTGCCTTAGGCCCGGACCCCAGGGGCACCTGAGGGACAGCCAGCTCACAATTTGAGTTGTGAGGCTGGAGGCCCCTGCCACCCCTGGTCCCTCCACCCAGCAGGGAAGGGGTCTAGGAGTTCCCTGCTCACTTGTTGACGGCGAAGTCGAGGATTTCAGCCGAGTGCCCTCGGTACTCGCTGATCATCTTCCCTGAGCGGGCGTCCCAAAGCCGCACGGCCCCGTCCAGGCTGCAGGTGTACACCACGGCCGAGTTCTCCTCCCACAGCAGCTGCACAATCCCCGACTGGGGCAGGGGGAGGCCACAGGGTCAGCACTTGGGGAGCCCCAGCAAGTCTCTGCTCCCCCCAGTGCTGTTGCTGTCCCCACAGACAGGAGAGCCAGCCCCATGGCCCAGCTCTGGGGCACATCCTCGCTGCAGGGACTGCGGCTGCTTTTAGGGAAGCCCAAGGGGCTGAGGGAGAAGCACAAACAGGAAACTGGCCCGAGGAAAGCCCCTGGGCTCCAAGGGAGGTCTTGGATGGGCCCAGATATGCCCCCCAGGCCCATGGGGAGGGGGCAGGGCAGTACCTCGTGTTGGCACTTATGCCTCAAGCTCTGTGTGGAGAGATCATAGATAGCCAGCGTGCCATCAAGGTAGCCCACAGCGGCCAGCGGCATCCTGCAGAGAGGGGAACAGGCGTTACATCGGCCTGGGGGAAGCAGAGATGGAAGCGTGTGAAGGACCATGGTTGAAGGCAAAGCACACTGAGAAGATGAGGAACAACCAAATGACTGAAGCCATGAGACACCTTGGTTCATGAAACCAACTGGACAGCAAGAGCCAGCAAGGGGCCCGAGGTTCACAAGGGAGAAGACAACGTCCTGGTAGGAAAGATCCCAAGCAGCCCTGTCTGGAGGGTATCCTGGCCAAACAACAGCCCATCAGGCTAGCCCAAAAACACAGTGGGTTGGGGGGGGAGGAACAAACAGCCAGTGTCCCTTGTCCTCTGTGTCACACCCAAGTGACCCGGGATTCCCACAGCCAGCTGGGGAGGACAGGCATGAGAAGAACACAGCAGATGACCGCAAGGGATGGAAACAGGTCTGTTAGTAACAAACATTAACCCTGTAAGATCTGGCATGGACAAGGGGCTGTGTCGTGTGTGTCCCCCCGCCAGCACCATGTGTCCCCACACTCACACATTACAGAAGCCCAATGACTCCACCGAGTTGGACTCGGCCTCCTCGCCCTCGCCAGTGGGGGCCTTGGGGGCCGTGCTCTCCATCTTGAACACGCACACCACCTGGGGGAAGGGAGACCAAAGAGTGCTGAAGGAGAGGGGAAGGGGATCCCCAGTCGCACTGAGGTCCCCTTCCTCACCCAGGATCAAGCCTACACCCTCTGGACATGTAGACGCATGGTGGTGTTGGGTTGATGGTTGGACTTGATGATCTTAGAGGTCTTTTCCAACCTTAATGATTCTATGACACCAAGGCCTGGCACCAAAACCTCAGCTCTTCGGTGCAAACAAGGGGCAAACGTCCTTCCGTGAGCCCAGCGGGACCAGCTACGGGTCCCACCGACAGCCAGGAGAAGCAACTATGTGTTGGCCAAGGGCGCCCCCT